ATGCTTTGTCCTCTGGTTCAGTTAAAACGAGCCAGATTAGTCCCCCTGTGCAGCTATTACACTGAACACACCTGCTAGCTGAGACTGACACCTCGAGAGCTCAGAGCAGCACCTCTGACTACAGAGCAAGGAGAGGCTGTGCCTGTGCTCGGAGCTACAGGATTATTGGTACCCTGATTTATGCCCTTGGTGGGCAGTGGACAGAGCAGGGACAAGCAGAGCCATCTCTTGCATCCTTTACAAGTGCCTCTCATCACAGCCAAGCCTCAGAAAACGGCAAAAGCAGAGCCATCCCTCCCTAAGCTAGTGCTGGGGTAAACAGGGAAGATTCCTGCTCTGTTTATAACATCTCTTGGCTCTCCAGCTCAGCAGAGGGGATGTCAGCAGATGAGTTACTCAGGGTGCTGCCAAAGCAGGACCATGCTGGGATGGGGTCCCCTACTTTGTCACTGCCTCCCCAGACACTGTCTTGGGCAAATCGCCTCACTGGGGCTCTGACTCCCCTCCTGCTCCGTCTCTGCCCTGGCGGAAACCAAGCTCCAGTGGGGCAGGAGTGCCTCTCCCCACGTGTGTGTAGTTGGCAGACCACAGCCTCATGGCAGTGGCAGACAGCAGGGCAAGCAGCCCTCCCTGCCCTTCCCTGCCTTCTCTCCCAGCTCTGGGGCCCAGCAGAAGTTGCTGAGATCGATTGCGCTAACAAAGCAATTCCACTAATTAGGGAGGGAAGGAAGGGGGTCATAGAGGATCAGCTATCTCTTTAGTCACCATAAACACTTAAACATTACATTACCAAGTCTCCAAAGGCCACGAGCAATCCCTTTGGATGGGTTTTATTGGAGTCACTGACATTAGCCGTCTGCTCCGTCTCTTCCCTGGGGAATGGCCACTTGAGCTAATTGTCTTTGCTGGCAGCCAGTGCTTCCACCACAAGGCCTGATCTCAAAGGGTGGGCAGGAGGGTGCAGCAGCAAGGCCTTCCCTTTGCACAGGGCAGGAGGGAAGGGGCCCTTCCCAGGATACTGACCTGTACTGGTGAATATCTTCAAAGGACTTGGTGTTGTTGATGGCGAAGACACAGAGGAATCCTTCCCCCGTTCTCATGTACTGGTCTCTCATGGCACTGTACTCCTCTTGCCCTGCAGTGTCCAAGATATCTAACAAGCAGGTCTCTCCATCGATGACTACTTGCTTTCTGTAGGAATCCTGCAGGCCAGGAGAGGGAATGGAAGGAGGATGCATTAAGAGAGGGCTCGGGTCTGGCTAAACAAAGGGATGCAGCGAGTGCATCCCTGGGAAGATGCCAGGTCACGCTCTGCCTGGGTTTAGCTTCCATTAAATAGATGACTCAATCTGTTTTAAAAATGGCAGGGAAAGGAAAAATAATACAAAAAATGCAAAGGAAAAAGGGAGCAGCTGAGCAGGTTTCCCCTTGTCTGTCAGAGCCACAGAGAAGGCAGCTCCTGGCTGGCTTTCCCCATTCCCTGCCCTGCCTCTGGCAGACCAGGAGCAGCTTTTTCTCTACCACACTCCATAGCCCTCGACAACTATTTCCCGAGCATTATTTAGTCCCACCTCTAATCCCTTCTGCTGCTGTCCTGCCTGGGTGCTGGAAGGGGACACACAAGAAAGGAGGCTCCAGCCAGTCAGGGCTTCCAGCCACCACCTGTGATCTGGGGGCTGAAGGTGTTTAAGATGACTTGGAAATACAACGCCTCCAATGGATCTCCAATCAGGCACCAGAGGCAATATGCCACCAGTAAGGTTTGATGGTAAACCTCTTCTTTAAACATGAGAACAAAATAAAACATAATCATGCTGTGAGGAGGGTGTTTCCCACAACCAGTGTATGCCCAGAGGGCTCCAGGAGAGGTAAGAACTATCCAGGCAGGTCCTTTGAAGTTGTGGCTTTTCCCTGCAGCAGAAGCAATCACAACTTATCGCAGATGTAAGAAGGCCTGGAAATCACCCAGGGCATCCCTCAAAAGGTTTCATTTTCAAGGCAGGCTCCTCAAAGCACTGCTCCTCCCTACCACACCTCTCCCCATCCTTGGGCTCAGCAGCAGGGAAGCTGCTGGGGCAGCATCAGCATAGAGGACAGCCTCATTCCCCTCCAACTGCCATTCCCTGTGTACAGAGCAGTATCCTCAACACTCAGCAAGAGAAGGAGGCCAAAACACAAGGTATGAAAAAGGTGCAAGTCAGCAGTATGACCACAACAGAGCTTTGCAGCCACTCGCAGAGGCTACGGCTGCAGTTTAAAATTAATTCAAATGTCTGCTGCTCTTCCAACGACCACAACAATGTTATCAGATGAGCTTTGCAGGTCTGCAGACAATCAGCCGACACAGCAAAGGTCACCAACAGGACCAGCAGCAGCACAGAAAGGGAACAGGGCCAACACGGCCTCCATCCTTTGGTTCATTACTAAAACAACATCATTTACTGGGGCTAATTAAGGTCTTTCCTCACCTTGCAGAAAGGACTGCGAAATCAGAGATGAGATCTGCTCTGCCACGACCTTCTCAGCTGTGCCTTCCCAAAAAGTGGACTTGCTGACCCATCGAGAATAAGCATGGTGTGATGGGCTGGATTCCAGCCAACCACTTTGAAGGCAACTGGCAGGTTGCCCTGCAGGAATGTGCTCCCACTTCTAATCAATAATGCATCTGGAGCCTCCTTCGTTCAAGAGGACCCTAGTGCCTGCTCTGCCCAGCAGAGCATCCTACCACCCCTGCACCTTGGCTTGCTTACCGAGGACCAGCCTCTCAGCACACGTGTTCACAACTAATGGCCAAGTCCCCCTGTTACAGGGGGTCTCACCAGCATACCCACACCTCGGCTCAGGCCATCAACAGGCTGCCCATAACCCAGCCACCTTGCTAACAAGGCAAAGGCATTAACAGTCTTGCAATGGAAGGGGACAAGCTCTCCCCATCAGTGTTTTGTGTACAGCTTCATCCGTACTCATCCCAGATGTTCAGGATGGCAGCCCTGCCAACCCTGCCACACTGCCAGGTGACCTAGCTGCCACTGAAGGAGGAGCTGCCACCAGCCCACATATCCACTTACCTGCAGCCTCAGTGCTCCTCTGCAGCCCCTCATGTCCCACCCCACCTTCTTGCACAGGGGAAAGCAGCCAGACTCAGCTGTGAAGTGCCAGGCAGCAGAAACAACATGTGTCTGGGGTTCAAATTCAGGATGTCAGGCAGATGCTGGGAGCATCCCAGGATTGCTGGGAGACCAGGACAAGAGGTCCATTTGTTAAACACTACAGTCTGGATACGACCAGAGGTTTGGGAAGCCTGTTACTAGCTGGCTGCTAAACGCTGGAAGACAAATCAAAGAATTTCTCAGAACAGTGAAACTCTTTACTCCATCCTTGTTTATTCACCATGGGACAATGCCAGTGGCATACATTTCCTTGGTGTCTTGGCCCTCCTACTTCCAAAATAAAGGTCTCAAGGGTCCTTGGCAGCCCAAGAGCAGGCTGTATTGGACTGGATGGTGTTGAGTTGCAAAGCCAAACGTTTGAACTAGTGTATGACTAGGGCAGAAGGGGAGCAGAGACCCAGTCAGGGTCTCTGACCCACATGGAACAGACCTACATCTTCCACCCCTCCTGCCCTGGCAAGCATCTTCTCAGGACACCCCGATCCACTCGCACCCCACTTTGCAGCACAGCCTGTGCTCAGTTCATTTAGGTGATGGGCACTGCCTCTGCTCCATGCACGCATACTCTTTTTTTTCTCCCTTTTATCCTGCTCATTTCAGCACTGCTGTGCTGCTTGTTAGCCAGCTGAACAGTCATAGTCAGCTCCTGGGCATGATCCAAAGCAGCTTAGTCACAGGAGGGTGGTTTGTTGGTCACATTTGGATGTCTGGCAGGTAATTCTCTGTGAATCCTAAATCCCCATAAAATGAAGCATAATTACAAGGAATCATCCTGAAATGAGTGAGAAGATGGCTGGAGCAGGGGGAAATCAGGGTACAATCAAGGCAGCTGCAAAGGCATCAGGGTTGGTGGGACCTGCGGGCGGAAGAGTACTAGGGACAGAAGGGCTGAAGAGCAGCTTGTGTCTGCTTTTGGAAGAGAAGAACAGAATGAGGCTGGAGGGAACAGGGCAGGAGAGAGCAGGCATCTCCTCAGGCACTGCAGGAGTGGGCAGGGTGAGGAGGGTGTGCTGGGAAATGCCATGCAAGGTTTACATTCCCTGTTGCCTGTTTATATGGAGAAAATTCCATACAGGGGGCAAGCAGCTGAGATAAAAAACACAGGATGCCAAAACCCAACACATCGCTGGGTGAGACCTGCCTCTGCCCATCCTAAGGTCTAAGAGAGGACTCATCCATGCAGATGTCTCCCCAGGGAGGCTGCTCTCCATCCACAGCTCTCACAACCTGGATTGGGTTTATAAGAGAAGTATGTATGATGCTACTGGGGATGAGCATGTGATGGGAGAGGAACTGGGGAAGAAGGCAAACTGCATCCATAAGCAAGGAGACTCAGGAGCCCTTAAATTAAATTCCAGTCTCTGCCATGGACTTTCTAGGTGACCTTGGCCAAATGATGTAATAGCACGTGCTTTTAAGTGCTTTCTCTCCTTCCCGTCTGTAGGATTTTAAGACTATTTCTGCCTTTCCACCAAGCCTTGTCTTGTTTATTTAACTTGTAAGCTCTTCAGGGTGGGGACTACACATACAACACCTACCAGAATAGATTTCTGATCCCAGCTGGGACCTTTAGCTATTATGATAATAATAACTGCAGCAACCACAGCTGCATTTATACACATCTGGTAGAGAATCCTTTAGGACTGCAGACAGGGAGGTTATTGTCCAAGAGGCATGACAGAGCTGCAATTTGCCTTCCCAGGGTGGACTTACTCCTTGTGCAGAGCAGCAGCTGCTGCCCACATCTCTCCCAACAAAGGTGTAAGTCACGCAGAGGCTAAATAGCACGTCGCTACCTACAGTGAAAGCAGACGGAGAATGGAATGTGTTTTTAAAAAGTAAAAAAAAAAAAGAAGCATAATGGATAATTGAAGCCTGTACCCTTCCTCCCCCACCATACAGCCTAGAGGACATCAGGGTCCCTGTCTGCTTCTCCAGGCAGGGTGCTGAGCTAGACAGGTCAGTGCTGTCATCCACACTGACTACAAGACCCAAACATCAATCTTTAACTCCTTGTGATGAAGCAGTCTGGGAACCACAGCAGTTCAGCTGCTTGGCACGTCTCACTCAAACTGCAGGATACACATAATACAACCAAGCTCTGATAATACCCGTTTCATCAGTACATCTCAAAACATCCTGCACAAAAGGTCAATATATTTACTCCAGTTTCACAAGAGGAGAAATGGAAGCACAGGCACAAAATGGCTCTCCAATTCCAAACCTTTAACCCCCTCCTTATGCTGTCATCTCATCAGAAAGGAGGACTTTTGTGCCTCCTCTCAGTCCCTGGCCAGCTCTGCCTGCTTTTGCTGCCTCTCTTGTCATCTCTCTTCAGCACACACCACTGTCCTTCTACAGGAAGCACAAGTCAGTCATTGCGACCTCCAAACACGCACGTACAACTCAGAATAGCTCTGCAAAGCAGAGGAACATCCTTGCTCAAGTTCAGACTTGAGATCAGGCTGAACATGTTCTGGGATGACAACAAGGTGGAGAAGAGCAAGAGGAAAACACACAGATAGACAGATCCCATGCCCAGAGCCACTCACCTCTATTGTGGGGTCATACTCATCAACGAAATGGTTCTGAATGAGCTGTATCGTCAAAGCACTCTTCCCAACACCACCTGCTCCCACCACCACCAGCTTGTATTCGGTCATCTTCCAGCTGACCCCAGCTCAGGACTTCCAGGAGCACCACCTCCTGCAAGGAGAAACATGGACACGTTAAGAAAGATTATTTTACAATAATAAATAATCCATCAGACGGAGTACAAAGCTATGTTTATCCTGTGCTATGTTGCAATCCTTCAGCCTGACAGTGTGGATGCAAACTTCACAGATTCCCTGAGCAAACCTCGAGAGGTAAGGGAGTGTTACCCATGAGAACACAGAGGTACAGGCTGTGTAGAGGTCTGGTTTTAAAGAAGTGCTCAGCGCTGTCCCTAGTTTTCCTTATCTCAAGCTGACGATCCAAAACCATTAGACAGACAGATCTGAAAGCCTTGAGCAGTAAGGTTTGGATGTCAATGTCCCCAGGAGTGGGGAAAAAGGTCCAGCTCCACCCAAATATGCTGTTGCTTCCATGTTTTCACCCTCAAGGCTGTGTTAAACCACACAACAGGTCTGAGATGGTGGCGCATCCACACCCTCTGCCCGTCCTCCAGCTAACGGTGCCTCCCACTGTGCATGCCCAACAGGGGAGAAGGAGATGCTATCACTGATAGTCCTAACTGAGAGTGATCAGGGCTACGATGAGTGAACTACACTTCTGCTGTACCATGTACTTGCCACAGCCCTTCAACAGGAGAAAGTTCATGCCCTGCCCTTCCTCCCTTAAATTTCTGCTCCAAGTCCACCAAGAAAGAGGAACTCGAACTCAGGAAGATTACAAAATCCCAAAAGTTTAAATAGAAATCCACCATCATTGGGCGGCAGCCCCTGCCCTGAGAGTCACCCCAGGGTGAGATACTCATCCTCAGCTACCATCTGCAAGATCGGGGGAAGCTACCTGAACCACAGCAGGTAGCAGGAAGACAAGCTCAAAGTTCCTCACGTCTGACACCTTCCAATGCTGCAACATCACTGCATGGGGATTAAACCGACAGAGCTCCCTCCTGCCCCAGATAGTTAAAAGACTCCACCCTCCTCCTCAGGCTTGCCAGCCCTACTCCTGAAACTCTGGAAGCTGCTACAAACTGTGCTGGCAAAGACCACTCTAGACCCAGACTGCATCTCATGCATTTGCTAACACAGCAAAGTTCTAAAGGGAAGGAGGCCAGAACCCTCTGCCTTCAATCCCCATCTCATGGCAACCCTAAACCACTCCGACAGTTCCATCACCCAGTTGAGCTGGGAGCAGTCAGACAGAGTTGTCTCTTGCCCAAGCCATTTTCTGAGCTGTGCCTCAGCAGCAGGAAGGCAAAGCTCAGGCCCTTCTCAGCACCCAGGATCCTGAAGGAGGGCAAGGGAGGGGGTGCAGAAGAGCAACCTGATAACAAACAAGATGCCAAGCAGGACCTCTGATTGCTATGCTGCTCTTCACTGCTGGAGAAGCAGTTAAAGATGGTGGGAAAGTGGTGATGGTGGGGGAAATGAGGTGCAAATACTGACATACCCTAGGTGCCTACCTGAAAGTGCCACTGCTTCCAGGAAAGACCAATGTGCCTCTGGTCTGGCAGCCAAGGAAGAGATACAGATTGAAACCAAGGCTACAGGAGAGATCACACTAATTGACCATGCACATATTACTCTGCCCCATTAATGCACACCCTCACATATATGACCTTCTTGGGGACAAGAGAGATCCCCACCCCAGACTTCTTATCTCTCAGATGGGAAGAGACAGCACGAGGGACGGTGACAGGATGAAATGGGGACTGAGGAGCAAATGCTGACTGACCATCTGTACCAACACTGCTGTCCAGGAGGGGATCACTCCCGCAGCAAACAGCTTCAAAACAGAACACAGAGGTGTCTTGAGGGCCTGAAGACACTCTGAACAATCTCCTGTCTTTCATACAGAGCAGGGAGATCTGCAACCCCCAGCAGAACACATGGTGGCTGTAAATAAAAGCCTGTAAATGGCTATGATGGAGCTCACTCTGCATCTGATGCTGCTGCTGAAGCAGTCACCACCATGATGCTGAAGGAGAACTGCACAACTATCCAGGTCTACCGGACTTGTTACGGCAGTGAGAAAAGCCTTGACTCAATATGGAGAGAAGACATGAGTTCCCAAGGAGGGAGTCCTCCCTCAAGACCACCCTAGTGGAAGGCATTGCCTATTCCTTCAGAAAACCACCAGCCCACAAAGTTACACCAGCCTTCTGGTCCACACTGCAGCAGGAGGTGGAAGCTAAGGTGGTCACCCACATCAGCTTAAGGGTCCTCCCCTGCTCTGGACCACAGCTGAGCTCCACTGCACAGCAGAGAGGCAGTCACACACCAGCAAGCCCTGCACATCACCATCTTAGCCCAGAGCTTCGAGATCTGACTCCTCCAAAGAAATGCAGACCTGTGTCTTCCTGCCCCCCCCAAGGGGCAAGGGAAATGTGGGGGGCAAAGAAGCTATTGCTCCTCACCACTCATGGCCAACACATGGACAATTTACACACAGGAACTCTGCAATGGCAAGTCCAGCCTACCCAACTGTTTCATACCATTGCTGCAAAACATGTCCTAATGCAGAGTGAGAGCGTGGGGAATGATAGACAGCTCTGGGCATGGGAGCTGCCTGAATTAATGTGTGCTAAAATCACTGTTCAGACCAGCTCACTTCCTTACCCAAAGGATTCACAATGCAAGCTCTTCACAAGCAATACGCAGACGCAACTGCACATCACAGCATGTGCAAATGCCACAGGAGAAGTCTGCCCTGGGGAAAGTGAGGATTTCCATATGGCCAAACTGCTACAGAGTTGGGCAGTTGGTCTTATCCTTAAGTTGACCTTAGCAACACCACCTCATAGCTCCCCTTCCTGCTTTTTGCTCCTGAACATGGGAAGAGCAAGGCTGCTCATCAACGCACGCATGGTTTCAACACATGGGTGGCTGTTCCCTCAGCACCACATGAACCGCATGACCACCACCACAGGGGCTGGTTCAAGAAACAGCCATCCCAAGACAACGTTTCTGGCTTCCTGAAAAACAGAAGCAGGGAGGAGAGAGTGGGGCTCCTGTCAGAGAGATGGTAACAGACACCCCAAGTTTTCACGCTGGGCATACACTGGATGGAAGTTTACAGCTTGTCAGTGGTTGTGAAAGCTTCTCCTGATGCAAGGATTTCCAGTTTCTGTTTCTCAGCAGCTAACAGAGAGCTGACCACAAAATAACTGAGCGAGACACAAAAGCACAGTCTCCTAGTCCCACACAGGGCAGAAGCAGTGCTTCTTCCATCTTCTGCAAGGGCTTCAAGACATGAAAGCCTGACCCAGGTCACTGTCTAGTGTTTCCCCTGCCTACCCAAATTTATCGCGTCTGCAGTACTCAACTACTGCACTCCCCAAAAGCCACATGGGGTTGTCAAGCAACAGCTGAGGGAGATGGCAAGGAGGAGAGCCATTCAGGAGCACTGTCTGGAAAGAGGAGGGCTGGGATCCATGTGCCAAGCCAACAGCCCCAGTGTGGAGCCAGAGCTGCCGCTGCTGTATTTCCTGACCTCGTGGATTTTCTCCTGTAGTGAGAGGGCTCCTGGCTCCCGTTCAAAGCTGTCTAGGAAAGCCTCGCCGAGTGCTTCCGCCTGGCAGCAGCAGCTGCTCCCAAGCCCAGTAGCCAGAGCCACACAGCTCCAGCAAGCAAGAAACATCTGCCAGCCTTGTGCAGGAAGCAGAGAGAGTAAGCACCCAGCCCCAGTGGACATCAGCATCCTACCTTGTCTTGCAGGGAAGGGATGAAGCTGTGGATGAGGGCAGAAGGCACATCATCTCCCCTGCCTGCACATGCTGGGTAACAGCATGGAGGCCTTGCCTGCAGAAACAAGGACCAAGATGCGTGGTGCAAGTTTTCACGGGGCTAAGACCTAATGCAGGTCTAGGCAACAAGACTATAGGTGCTACCCAGAGACCTAGCTGTGTCCTGCAAAGAACAGCCTGACCTTCTTCATGGTCACTACTCTCCAGCACAAAGACGTAATTTGGAGAACCTGAGTGTGAAGCCTACAGAAACTCACTCAGCAGAAGCAAAGGTGAGGAACTGAAGGGGTTTGTCCCCATCAGTACATCCCATCACACCATCACAGTTTCAAGAAAAACTCAGGTGTCAAGTGAAAGGAATATGCAGTGGGTTTCCAACACATTCACCTTAAGGGAGGTGATACCCTTCCAAGAGGATAACTGAAGAAGCTTTCTCTATGTTCTCTCTTTCCTCCCATCACCTCATTTGTCTCCCAGGATGGATACCAAGCCAACTAAACAAGTCAAGAGACAGATTTTTGCACAGCACTGCCGTACTGAGGCCGACAGTGACAGAAGTTTTACAACTGTTCATTAGCGAATGTTTACCCTCTGAATGTTTATCCATTGGGAGTCTCTGCATTTAAAGGCATCAGAAGTCAGTTTCACCTCTGCAAATCTCTTCGGGCACATCTCAGACCGGGCAGCCTTTCTTCCAAAGCCTGTCCAGAGGAACCAAGGAGCCCTTTGACCACAAATGCTGCAGCGTTGGAGTTTATTTCCCTTCAGCAGATATGCCCTGCAGGCAGAAATGGCCTGCAGTCCTCTAGGAGAACAACACTCATCTCGGCCTTTTACCAGCAGGTCAGGAATCCTGCTCAGTGATTTTTGAGCACTGACAAAGCAAACTGTGTTGGCTCACCCTGGTGACTGTCCAGGCTCCTTGGTTTGCTCATGCATAAGTCTGTCATCAACATCACAAAACACAGCCTCTGGAGGGACTGAAGGAACCTCCTCTCCAGCGGTGTGAAATGCCATCTTTTGTTTTCACTGGAGGATCAAAATGCTGATGTTCTCCGTGGCTTGTCTAGCCTGAAAGCAATTACAAAAACCAGGCTGGCAAGCTGATGCTCTGTTAGGAATCACAGCCTATCCAATGCTTCGTTTTAATTCACTTGTTGCATTTAAAATTAACAAGTGCAAATCTAACACAATGTGCTTATTGTTGTCTTCCTGGCTGTGTACCTGCAGACTCAGATACTGCACCTCACAGATGAGGAAAGAGAGAGGGATGCCAAAGAGGAAATAAGAGTTGCAAATGCCAGCCCTGCTTTGGAGAAATAACTTGGAGACAGTAAATGTCTTCTATTAGAGGGGAAAAAAAACAAACAGAAAAAAAATACAAAAAGGATCAGAATGGCTTCCTCCAACCTCTGCTTGCTCTTCAAGATCTGAAGGAAAAGGCAGCCTGTCTCAAGAGACTGAGCATAAAAACATTGCTGCAGAGGGAAAAAAGAAAATGGGTAAGCAATGGCATAATATAGGAGGCTCAGAACACAGATGTGCATTCAAGGAGAAACCTGTGAGCAAGAACAGCAGAAAGCTGTGGGCAAGTTTGAGGCATTGGCAGGTCTGGAAGAGAGGGATTGCCTCTCCACAGGAGCCATAAACATGTCCCAGCAACAAGGTGTAAGCCACAGCTTTGCACAAGGTCTCAAACAGGCATGGACTGGTCGCTGCACCAGGCCCAACCCTCACAGTTTCCAGCTGAAGCACCTCTGGCAACACAATCCCTCTGCCTGAGACTACCCAACCACAAAGGGCTTGTGAAGTCCCTGCTCATCTTCCCTCTCCATAAGATATGAAAGGACAAAGGAAAACAAGATAGTACCATTCTAACCAAAACTGCTCCCTGTTCTCTTGTTCCCTGGTTCCTGCTTCAGCCTCAGATGTAAGAGGGTACAACTACACTGTTCTTGCTTTCCCTCTCAAATAATACATATTCTTAATAAAGTTCTTTGTTGTCAGCTTATTCTAAGAAAAACAACCAGTAGGTAGCTATACCTTAACTACCCAAACCAGCAAACAGCATAAACAAGCCAGCAATGCAATAAACCCAGAGAACAAACCAGCCACCAAAGAGCTTTCCTTTGGATAAAGGAATTGCCCACCCACCCCACTCCTCCCAGCCAATACAGGGCACCAAAATTACTACACTCCAAAGAAAAGATGTGCAGGCCCCTTATCTCAGGAGCTTACAAATCAGGACTGCTCACACCCATGCCTCCAGCATGAATGTGGCACGAGGAGCAGTGCACAGCCAGGAAACTCTGGCAGGTGCTGGGATATGCTTGTGAACCATGGTGGAATCTTCAACTTCCACCATCACCACTCTACCCTCCTCCATGATACTACAGAGCTCATCTCAGAACAGTCTGCAGAAGAACAAATCCTCCAAGCTAACTTCCACAGAGAGAAAGCATGCTGCTCTGCAGGTTAACTGCTGCCAGTCCATGGAAAGGGTGAAAAGAAACAGGCAAGCAAATAATACATCC